TTCATGCCAACAAAACTTAATAAGATGGTAAATAAACAATGATAATATTAGATCGATAGCTCGGCAAAAGTTGCGCAGCGTGTTGGCGACGAGATGTTGGCAACATGTTGCAGAAAGTGCCTATCATAGAGACATAACACGCCTCAAATGCTGCATTGTCATTTCTTTATGTTCCTCTATTATGAATGTGTATATGTTCTTTTGTTGGGTTGAATGTGTGTGTGTGTGTGTGTGCGTGTTGTGTGTGTTGTGTGTGTGTGTGTGTGTTTAAAATGATTGTTCAATAAAAGAGTGAAATCAACATGTGCAGGCAATAAAATGGAAAGTCACATAATTAAGTTGTTAATCTATTATTGGCTCATTTGAAGTAAAAAAATTACTTGCAATTTCTTTTTGTTAATTTTTATTCAGTCAGTTCTTTGTTAGTTTCTATTCATCCTATTCCGTTATAAATCAAACCTTTCAGAGGAATGACAGAAACTAAATGAATGCGAACCATGGGATAAAAAGTTGAAGATGGAGATGTTGAGGATGGTCGGTGCAAGTGGGAACAAAATGTTGTACGCGATAAAATGACATGAATGAAATTATCTTTTTATGTACCTCTCAGGTCCGTGCTCCCCTATTGATCTGCGTGCACTATTTGCCAATCTCTAAATGTCTTATCATAAGATTTGTACTTTTGCCGATGTATGTATGTTTGCATCTGCGTGTGATGTATGTGATGTTTGTACTTCATACTCATGCATGTACGTGTATTGGCATTAAAAAAGCATTCTCTGTGCATGTCGAAGCTTAATTTTGCACGTGTGTGGATGATCGTGTAATGTTCAGCAGACGAAAATGTTGGCAACCTTTAAATTTATATAAAAAACAAAATACTTGATCAAGATAGTTGAAAAATGAAATTTTTAAGTGTTGAACTTTTGAAATGTTAAATTTTTCAACTTGAAAATTAATGCTCGAAAGAAACTTCGACGAGCGTAAGGAGTTGGTGCCTGTGTTAACAACCTCGAAATGCCTTAAAATTCATTTTCTAAAAAGAACGAGACACAAAAGTTTTAAAAATTTTATACAGTAGCAAACATTTAAAACAAACTTTTTAATCAATTATTATTATCTGCAACAAAAATACATCAACCCGTAAATTTTATTTATTCATTCATTAAAAATATGAAAATAACTTTATGAAAATCAGAAAACTTTTACAAAGCAGTTTATCGAGTTTAGCAAAATATTAATTAGTCCGCTAATTTATATGTGTGTCAAAAAACCCTTACTAAATAAAATTAGGGCCTAAGGGGCATTCGCAGCCGTCTAAACATGAACCAGCAACAAATTGCTTATCGTCATTTTATACCTCGATCGGAATACTGGCAAGATTGAAGCATCAATTTTGCAAGAAGTCATACTTGGCTCTCTGGTTGGTTTGCGTGGAAGAACGCTCTCTTGCATTTTTCATTGTGCCCGTTTTTTGTTTTCGTTCATTCGAAATTTTTGTAGGATGTGTGTCATCATACGGAAATTCTCAAATTTCAACTAAAAACTCAATCGCCGTGAAACAGAAATTAACTTTCGCCTGCTTTTTTTAAGATTGTTTGTCTTACATAAATTGTGAACTTTTTGAAGAATGTGTAATTTTCTTAAGTTTATCACGAAAAACACAACACTGAACAATATTAAAAAAAAATTATAATCAATTATAATAAAAAAAACTATATAACTGCAAAGTTGCAAGACGCACAACGGTCATCATATTCTTCCTCCAGTTTTACCGCCCGAAGCACTAACAAAGTTCAACATTTACCACGAAAGCAAACAAATCGAAACAATTTTTTCATATAAACGTCCTACAAGAGTTCGATGGACAGAACATGGCCACTCAAATTTTTTTTCAGCGTGCATCGGCCATCACGAATCAGCCACGAGTCAAACTAATGAAGTCGACACGAATATTTCCAAATGAAATTTTCTCCATTTTTTAAAGGAACAAAGTTAAAGTTCACTTCTTTCATTATGAAACAATTTTATTATCAATTTTTAAAAAATTGTCTTTTTCAATAAAGGTAATTCTTTCTTATTAAAACTTCATTAATTTCTAAGTTTTGTGGAATTTCGTCTATAATTTTTAAATAATAATATAATAATAAAGTTTGAATATAACGTGCATTGATATTCTCAAATCAGGTTGATAAACTTTAAACATTAATATAACAATGTTTTTGTGTGTTTGTTTGTTTGTTTGTGTGAATGTGAGTGTGTGTGTGTGCGTGTGTGTGTGTTAACAAAGCTCTCACACAACTGCACCAAACCGCGCAATGCTTCATAATGAATCGACTGTGTGACTTTTTCTGTAAAATGCAATCAAAGTGGGCTTACATGTGCAGGTTACTCATAAATTTGTCATCATCATCAGATTTTCATTACTATCGTCATTGCCAATATCAATTACATTGTCAACATCGTCTTCGTCAACATTATTATATGATTACCGTGAAAATCTTTCATCATTTTTTTTTTCAAAATTTTCTGTCATTTTAGTTCTCCTTTACAAATCATTAATTTTGATTTTGTAGTCTATATGCTGTACATTACATCTATCATCGAGACACTTGTCGAGTTGTAGTCTGAATTGTCAGGCTAATGTGATTAAATACCGATGTAGTAATGTAATCAACATCATCGTCATCATAGTCACCATCACTGTCATATCACCACCGTCATGATTGGCATTATTATTATTATTGCAATCATCATCATCATCATCACATCAACATCAACATCAAATATCATCATCATCATCCTCACCAACAACACCACCATCATCATCATCATCATCATCATCATTGTTGATATCATTATTATTATTATCATCATCGTCATCATCGTCATCATCGTCGTCGTCGTCATCACCATCATTAAGATTATCATCAATCCTTACGGCACCAGCATTATCAATTTTACTAGAAAATTTTCAATTTTTAAAACAAACTTATGAATTTAGTACAGCTAGCGGGGGTATTAAACATGAAAAATATCTCTATGGCTTAGCCAAATAATCCTATTATATTTGCGCGTATTTTTTGTGTATTATTAATTTTCGGTATCTTTTTTAGGTATCATTCAGATAGTTTTGTGTATCATTTAGGTATTTTTGCGAGCATATTTTTTGAAAAACTTTGTCAGATTTCAGATTAGCATATGCAAATTTTACAATTTTGAATAAGTTTGAATATGTAATTTTCGTTCTTAAGCGCTCAGGCTTCTTTGTATGACAACCAGAATTTTTATTGTCCGCATATTTTTGTTTTTTATTCATTGTTTCTTCAATTTTATCTCATATTTAACTAAATATTTAAAAACTGAAGCAAAATTATTTGAATTTATAAAGAACGAACAATGCACTGGCACCCTGACTTGTTTCCCTTCCTACAAAATATCTCGTGACATCTTCCTTGCTATAAAAAGACCAACATATTTATTTACAAATATTTCTAATTTGGACCATTATTATAGAAAACTACTGACGTAAATACATAAGTAAATGAAGAAATAAATAGACAAATAAACAAAAAAGAAAAAAATACAAACACCAAAAGAACAACCACAACAACAACCACACTATTAAAAACAGCTGTTGTTGTCGTTGTTAGGGTTTCAACAGAATAAAAAAAAGCCACAAAAACCAAATGACGTCATCCTGCGGCGATGCGGCAGAATAATAAGATCGAGCTGAAGGGCGCTATGTAAATATGACGTCATCAAACAGGGATGTGATGTCACGATGTAATAACACGAGAACTTCTTTCTTTAAACGTTTTTATTTCGTTGTTTCTGAAAACGAAAATGAAAATGAATAAAGCATGAAGTAAGAACATTCGATAATAAACTGGAATCAGGCGGCTAATCGCAAAAACAAACAGAAAGTGTGCGCAAATGACGTTGATTATAATCATATGGAGACATCTTGTTTTTTTTTTGCTTGTGCTTGTTGTTGTTGTTGTGTTGCTGTTGTTGTTTCGAATGCTTTATTTGTTGTTTTTGTTTGGGTGCAATGATATTGTTGATGATGGTGACAACTACAACGACGACGATGATGATGGTGGTGATGTTGGTGATAATGAAGAAGACGATGTAGACGTGGTGATGAAAACGAAACAGAAATTGATGATAATGACGTTGATGATGTGGACGCCTATAATACTGACTGAGAATATTAATGATGGATGGTGTTAATAAACAATTTTGGTAGAGGATTTTACTGAAAGAATTAGAAAGTTTTTTTTTGTTATACATAAACATAAGTTTTTTTAGTATGTTGAATTAAGAGAACATGGTTTTGTTGTAAAATTTTTTGAATTCAAATATTTTTATGGCCGATATTTTGTTTGAATGAGAAAATTAACAGAAATTTATTTAGTACGTTGCTGAAACAATGAGGCTGGAAAAAAAATAAAATCATAAATAAAATTTTTGCAAAAGATAGAAGCCTTGTTTGCGAGCGAAGAAATAACTTTTTGAAAACCTGTTTTATATCTCAGAAGGTTGGCACTGCATTGTGACCAACAAGAAGCTAGGTCAGTCGGTGTTCGTCCATCTCATGTTCTACAACGTCCACTGCTCTTCTCTGTTCATACTAAGGTTCTATTTATGATATGTTCATTTGTTGTTCGTTCCTTAGATTGTTTGTTCGTTCGTTCGTCTTGGTGTTCGTTTGTAATGATTTACCAACAAAGACGTTCAAAATTATTATTTCTATTGCCATGTTTGAAGTTGACAAAGGAACTGGAAAAATTTTTCAAATTAAAATAATAAAAAATAGAATTTTTGAATGATGTGCATTTGAATTATTGAAATTAAAACATACTTTTTCAAGAAAGTTTAACGTTCCAATATCAAGATTATTTAATATTTTTTTTAATCAGTACAAACGTAACTTTTGCTCCGAAATTTTTTCATCCGCCGACATGTTTTTTATCTTCATTGAACATATTTTTATTTTAAAACTTTCGAGGCCTGTTTTGACAGCTTTTGTAGCTTAAAAATGGCATGTAGAGAAGGAAATTTATGCCCGACATGACTGCACCGGCGTCATTTGCATAAACACACTTCTCCAAGTTCTTCCCGCTTTCTAGTTAAATTTTACGATGAGAGTGCAAATGTAAATGTTCATCAAGAGAAGATTTCGGCACCGCATTCAGTTCAAGCTGCTTTTTGTGAATTTTTCATTATTTTAATACGTTTTAAAGCAAGTTTTCTATTCCTATTTCATTTTTAAATTTTTTTTGTGACATATATAAATAAATATTTTGCTTGATTTTTAATTGTGTACTTGCCAACCGTTCCAGATTGGATTCGGTGGTTCTGTTGTGCTGCATCTCAATGTCTGCAAGACGCAAATAATCAGTCTTTCCATTAGTAGAAAATGTTGAGTGTCTTTTATTGAGAGATATCTGGATCTCCGTGATCCGCTCTTGAGAGGACAAATGTTGGCAAGTAGGCCATGTCTTGTGTGTGATAATCTTCAAATAGAAAAAGTTACACCTCTTTCGTTCATTTAAGTCGATAGTTTTAAACAGTTCAAATGCGGAATTTAAAATTTAGCATTACGATTATTTTGAATTTGTTAACAAATGAAACAAAACTGCTGAAAACTGATGCCATTCGTTCGAACAAAATAATTTTCAGTTGTGTTTTTATGTAAAGAAGCTAGTTCTCAGAAAATATTTGCGTAACTTAACTTTATGTATCACTGTAATGTACATACGTTCCTATATTTTGTTCATTTTTCCAAAAACTAGCAAATAGATTTTTTCTAAGAATGTGCAAATAATTCGTTCATTTCTAATCAGCTGCAAAGAATTGTTGGAAGAAAATGTAGGAACGCAACGTGGAAAGTACCGCGTAAGTCCTCCGACGGATGTGATATGATTACTCTTGACTTATTCATTTATCTTCTCAGGCAGATCTAATTCAATCATCTCACGGAAAGTCTCTTCGCACCTCCAAGAACACTTTCTGTTTCTCAGCACTCGTTCGCAAAGAAACAAGAAAATATATGTCTATTGCAATTTATTTAAAAGATAATTTTAAACAATTTTCACAACTTAAATCCCAAATTATTTACAATTTCCAACTGAAATTACTCATACGTATTAACTCTCCAAAAAATTTCATAAAACTTCTCTACAATCACCACGTACGTATCACCACGTACGTATGTTTACTTAATAGAACTTTAGCATGTTGTGTGAGTGTGTATGTGAGTTTACAATGTACATTGTGTGTATTTCTCCGTTGCACATGTGGCATGTGTGTGTGGCGGGCGACCATGCCGCCGACCATTTAATATTTTATGCACTTCTCAGAAAAGAGGATAGCTCATAAAATGAAATGTAACAAACTGACCGTATCTCATGTCTTGCACGGATAAATTGTTCAGTTGTTTGCCTCTGTGTGTGTGTGCGCGCGCGTGTGTGTGTGTGTGTGTCAAGGCAGCAAAATGTTAAATAAATTTTTAGCAATATTAATAAGAGCGTTCATGTGAATGTGGCAACAGTTTTAATGTGTTTTCGGTTTTTGATAGTTGTTTGCTACATAATTTTGTTTAATTTTTATTGGCGTACAAATTGCAGTTTTAGATTACAAATTGTTTTGAATTTTAAATTATGTTCATTTTAAATAACTTAATCCCTAAGGTATAAATAATTTTTCGAATGAAAATTTTTTTAGAAGATTAAATGCCATATTGATACTATGAACATTTTTCAAAATTATGATTTAAATTCTCTATAACTCTCTACTAATACATCCGTTCATGTTCCACTCAATTTTGATATTTGAAGTTATTGTTAACAACATAAAAAAAACACAATATGAATAAATGATTTGTCTTATATACTTTCAGTGCCACACCTGTTTCGCAATTATCAGTTGTCCAACAAAGTTTATAGGTTACAAAGTTCAACTGGTTCGATCACCTAGAGTAACACGACTAACATTAGCCTTGTGAAATTTAGGTTTCATCACTTCTCTTCAGCCAGGTGTTCGTTTAATGTTGATCGTTTAACAAAATTACACTTTGAATAATTAAACTCATTCTTACAGCAAGATCACAAAGCGTTGGCTGTGGAATTAAAAAGTTAAAACAATTGATTAGTTGCATGGAAAAAAGGCTAAAAAATTCAAAATGTGATTAGCAAATAAGGAATCACAACACTATCGAGACTATTTAAAAATAAGACAAAAAATAATCAAACAACTTTCCTGACGATAAATCAAAAGAAGCAATAACGTCACGATATTAATAATCATAGCATGAATTATATTCACTTCACAGATCACTGACCCAACTCAACCAAACTCAACCCAACACATCGATATAAACTGCACTGAAGTTTCACAAAAGGTTAATTTAAATTTATCACTACAATTAATGCCGTCGTAACCAGAGCTGATGAAATGTTGAGGTGACGTTGACCGCTAGATGCAGTATTAGTTGTTGGCCGGTAGATGGGGCTTAAAAACTTGGCCAGTGCAAATTTTAAGTTGCATTCCAACCAATTCATTCCATGCGTTATTATTGCTTCACAAACGATCTCTGTCTTTTCTCAATAGTGATAAACAAAAAAATGTTGCCATCAGATGAATGATTGATTAGGTATGCGAATGAATATATTTGGATAATAAATAATTTAAGCAAACATATGTGTGCTTCAGTTTGTGTGATTTGTGTGTTTTGTCGTGTGTGTTGCGTGTAGTGTGTTGTGTGTGAGTGTTTATATGTGTGTGTGTGTAGAAATAGAAATTTGCTGCATTTGTTTTAAATGTTTAGTCAAAATATTTGTATCTTTGATTTTGTGAAATCTTCTTCCAATGTATATTCAACCTAATAAATAAAAGCCTCTGCTTTGATCTTTCGAAAAAATTCCCAGGAACGTAACGGCGCGGAATTTATTCTTCTGTCGCTTGGCACTTTGAAGTGTCGTCTTTTATTCCTTTATTGAGTTTACCTTCCTTCAACCACTGCACATGAAAGGGACGACGCAAATGCAATTGACGTATGAATTCGCGCGTGCCATTTTCAACAAAGTGTTTGTCATATTTGCTCGGCAAATTTTTTTTTATAAAAATCGTATTTCAATTGGAAAAAAATGTTATTTTTCAGTATTTTAGAAATTACAGTGAAAAATTGTTTATAGGACATTAAGTTTGTGAGTTTTTTTTTTAAATTTCATATCTAATAAGAACGTTTTGCTCATCTCGTCAAATGTTTTCAAAAGAATAGAAATAATTTCTGACTGCTGCCAAAGCCACAGATGAGTTATTGCATAATTTTTTTTAATTTCGTACATCCACATATGACGTCTCATTTTGAAAAAGGAAGTTTTTTTCACTGTCTTTCTGTCTGTCATTTATTTAATCCCTCTAAATCCAATGCTGGTCTGAATGTAGTTAGCTGATGAGAAGGAAATAAGCTCGGATTTCAAATGACTTTTGGAAATATTTTTTCAAGTTTTTTTTTTAATTAATATTTAAGTAATATGGAGAGTTTTTTTGTTTGTGATCTTCTGAATGTTGAATAATTTTATAATAGATTAATTGTGATTGGACATTAAGACTGACAAGCTATGTAAATCTTTATTTGGAGTTCTGTTAGAAGTATCATTTGTAAAGTTTGAGGCGCAATGACCTTTAGGAATTTTTATATCACCTTTAATTTATTTTATCAATAAAATATACAAATACGATCAAATATTGAAACGAAATGTAATAATGGATAATGAAACATCCATGTCTAAAAAGTCAGTTTATGAGTCAGGCAGTCTATAAATAGAATTTATGAGCGCATCATGTAAATGTGCTAAATTTGGTATGTATGTATGTGATGTGTGTGTGTGTGTGTTTGTATGTGTACCTTCATTTGTCTTTATATACTTTTCTGTTTATTTTGCTGCAATCTCAGCAGACATCTTCATGTATCTCTGTATCTCGGTATCTAAATAGATATAGATATCTATAAATGTATCTACGTGTAGTTTCTACGTAAAAATATAACGATGCTCGTGAATGAAAATAATTTTGCGTTTGGGGGTTGATACAGAAGTAATGATGATTTGGCGAGACTACGTGTTATTGAATTGGATAAATGTTATCAAAGGATGAAAGGGTGGTTGAATAATTGAATGATGGATCAACTTATTGGTTGAGTAAATAAATTAGTGAGAGTGAAAAAGTAAGAGGTTATGGCTTGTAAAATGTGGCTGAACTGAACAGCTCAAACGCAATTTATTGCATGCGGTGATGAAGTTAGAAGCATTGAATGGTAAAATATGGCTGAAATACGCGATAAAGAAACAATTTATTGTATTCAGTTTTTGAAAATGTTTCATTTGCGTTATTGGAAACATGCCATAACTTAAGATTTAATAACAATATCTCCGTAAGAATTCGCACATAAAGATAAGAGTTTTGACAAAAACTTAATTAAAAAGTGAAAAATATAAGTAAGGGATGTATGAACTGAAATATACAAAACTATTCACAAACATTTTGTACGTCATAAAAAAAAGGTGAGGCCATATTTCACGCAACAAAGCCCAAAACAAATTCAAAACAAACTCGACGGAAAAATTAAAAAATGTTTGATATAGCGTAAAATACAAAATATTTGCAGATGTGATTTATGGTGTTTCGGAAAGTCTCTAAATGAAAAGATAAACAAAAAAAAACAACATCACAAAAACATTTAGTTTGTTCGCCAAAATTGAAAGCGTGACCAGCATAGAAAATTATCCCTGAACGTGATGAAGAAATAATTTTCACCATAAATGCCGGCAGGTACAAGGTCGCTCGAATTTATGTTGCTAAGTGAGTTTGAAACATTCGCGCATGCCAGAGCATCGTGTTGGCACGTAAGCGGAAAAGATTGTCTCACAGGCAAACATGACATAAATGGCTGTCACTTTTAAATTAGTAGACATAAGAATTATTTTTACGTAAATATTCGATCGAGTTTGCGCCTCATGTTGCGATGGAGGTGCACAACGTTTCCTTTGGTCTGTTAGTCGGTTTCCTTGCGGTTCACACGGAAATTAAATTTGATTTTTATGGTTTCATTAGTTTATCAAACTTATTTTTGTAAAACAATTTTTAAATTCATTTAGCGGTATAAAACTAGTGACTACTCTGAACTCACGATAAAACTATAAATAATGAAGTTATAAAATTAAAGCTGCTAATTATTCATAAACGTCTGGATTTCCATTGACAAATTTTAAATTTTTATACTCGAGAAAATAAGTACTGCACTATACAAATCTAGAAACAAACTACCAGCTAAATTCATCATATTAGTGCTACATTTCATAAATGAACGAAGTACCTGTCCTAAACCCGTTTTTCGACAATTTTGTTTCTCTGAATAACTGCGCTGTAGAACGTAATGAGCAGTGGTAGGAGATTGATCAATGTTTCGATTTATAGTTTCGTGTTTGTTCCGTGCGATATATGCATACTTATAAGTCCGCCAGTTCATTGTACATGAATGTATTTTAAACTTTGATATCTTGATTACACGCTCTTGCTGTTGAAAATGGGATTTCAGACTGTTGGTGGTAGATGGTGAGAGGATTTTGATAGAATTTCATTTGTAAATTCTATCAAAATTAAACCTTTTTTATTTTAGAATTGTTTAAAATTTAATATTTGAAAAACAAATTGAAAAATGCCGATATGGCAAAAACCACAATTAAATTTTAATTGGCAATTTGTTAAAAATAGATTTCAGCCAAACCAGAGTGCAAGTGAAGGCACGTTCAACTTTAAGTATGGACAGAAATTCAAATTAATCTGATGTAAGATGGGGTGTGGTGGTTTTTGTAGTAGTTTGTGGTGGTTTGTGGTAGTTTGTGGTTGTGGTCATTTGAAATGGCGATTTACCAGCATAATGCATCTCATGATGAACACGTTTCAAGTATTTGATTGATTGGTCCATGAGATTTGGTTAGAATTATAGATCAAAAATTGGTTTTTGAAGACTTGCTTTCGACTTTATTTCAAAGAATTTGAGTTTTTTTTGCAATATCTATGTTTTAAATAATATAATAATATTTTATTATATTATAGGAAAATTAACATGCCGATCTTATTTAATTATATTATATAAAAATAAATTTTATATAAAATTGTTTTCCACAAATTAACACAAACCTCGTTGAAATAATCTCTAATAAGCCATTTTATAATGCAAACATTAGTGAGTTACAAGCAAACTTTTAAGGGATTTACGTTCATAACATTGGTGATGGTGATAAACCGAATGCACATTCACTGACGGTTTATTGATTCCTCAAAAAACGCCAATCAAAATTTCTAATCAGTCAGATCGAAACATTTTTTTCAAGAAAAATTGAAAACTTTAGAAAAACACACACACACCCACATACACACACACGTCACTCACGCATTTGCATTGTACAAACACATACACACACGCACGCACACACACAAACTCACGCACACACAGACACGCACGCAGAAACCTTGATAAATACGAATTGTCATAACAATTCATGCATATCCGCAAACACACAACAAATAAATAAATATTTCTACTAACTTTATAGACTATAAAATCGTAGTGGAACTTTCACAACACATAAGTTAAGTGTGACACATTGTTGCAGCTTGGAACGACATACATACACTTACACGAGTTTGCGTACAAATGTTGTACACACTAACATACAAATGTAAATACAATTTCTGAGAGGTGGGTATACGCAAGAACCCACACACGCTCATGCTGCATACAAATGATTGACTGATGGGAGAATTTGTTTACGTCCATGTTTTTTGTTTATGATTGAGAATATTTGCATTTTATTTGCAGTGTTTAAGACTGTTTATAATTTCGTGTTAGTTTTGTTTTTGTTTACGTATTTTCAAATTCTGTTGTCTATGTTTTGATATGTTTAAGTTCTTGTTTATGTCTTGCGTTTTGTTTCAAGATTGTCGATGAATGCGTCCCGTTGTGAGCAGCCAGGCGAGATGTTTGTGTAGAGATATGCATGGATGAATCTTACTACATTACATGCATGTTTTTGATGTTGTTGTTGTTGTTGTTTGTTGTTGTTTTGCTTGCTATTGTTGTTGTTGTGGTGCTTGTTATTGTTGTTGTGCTTGTTGTTGCTGTTGTTTGTTGCTGTGTGTGTCGTTGTTGTTGTAGTTGTTGTTGTTGTTGTTGTGAGTGACGTATTTGCTGTTGATGTTGATGATATTTTTCGTTACTGTTGCTGGTATTGATGTTATTGTGGATGACAAGCTTAATGTTAACGTTCTTGCCTGTCTATGTTGTTTTTTATTCTTCCACAACTTACTTTCGTTAGACGCAATGTATAACATTACGCACGATAATTGGGGGTGATGATGATAATGAAGATAATAATAATAATATAAATAAAAATAATAATAATGACAAACGGTGATGGCAATAATGATGATAACCAATGATGACGATGATGATAATGACAATGAGAAAGGTTTTAGTAGAGACGTCAATTTTGAGTCAACCTGATCAAACGACTGAACTCATTCAATCAAAGACATTTCATTCAGCCTGAGTTTTCGTTTTGAAACTTTTTCCAAATTTAAAAATATTCTTCGTAATATTTAAAATTTTTTGGTGAAATTCTATTCGTATAGAATTTATGATTGACAATAACACGTTGTGTGATAACTGAAAAATAAATGTTTTATCAAAAAAAAAAAAAACAAAAAATGGTTGAGCAAATAAGAATTCAACTTTAAGAGAAAAGTTGAAATAGGTTGAAGAAGAAGAAACAAAATCAGGCGACACATTTTTTCAATTTTTAATTTTAGAAAAAAATATTTTTTACTACGGATTTTTTAATGTCTCGCTTGGAGGTGAAGATGTTTCTTTGTATGTCGGTCAATGTAGGTAAATGTGTCTACGAGTGTGCGTGTTTATATGCGTGTGTGTCTGTATGTGTCTTTATGTGTATGTGTGAGCCTGTTTATATTGTAGGCGAGGATGTCTACATGTGTTTGTGTGTGTGTGTGTGTAATTGTGTGTGTGAGTGAATGAGTGTGTGTACACGCGTGTGTGTGTCTGTATGTTTATGTGTTAAATATATACGTTTGGCCATGCCAGTGACGTATTTATCGAAGTCAGCAAATTGAGTTCTTGAAAGGTCCATGATGCCGATGATGACAATGGAAAAAAGATGATGGTGATGATGAGGAGGATGTTCTTGAGAATGATGTTGTTGTTGCTGTTGTTGTTGCTGATGATGTGATAAGTTAATAGAAGAAAAAAATGCCAGTTACGATGATGGTGGTATTTACATGG